GGGGGGGGGGGGGTTAAGGATGAGTCTGGGTGAGGAGAAGAGGGGGCAGCTTCTAGTTGGGTGGACAAGGGTGGCTGTCCTGAAGGAGAAGGAGGGATCCCAGATGGCGTGGGGGGTTAAGGGTGGCCAACCTGGGGGAAGCACAGGGGACCCCAGCTGGGCCCCAGATGGGATGGGGGGTACGGGGGTCCCTAGCTGGGTGGGGGGAGCACGCGGGGCCTCAGCTGGGTGGGGGGAGCACGCAGAGCTCCCCTCCTCCACCCCCCCAGCCCCCGAGCCGCCCGTACCTTTGAGGTAATAGGCCTGGCAGCCGTCGTCGCGCAGCTTCTGCAGCAGGAGGCCGAGCACGGAGCTGGGCGCGCCGGGCTCCGCCTGCCAGTCGGCCGTGGCCTCGTCGTAGAGCAGCACCGTGGCTGCCTTGCAGCGCTTGGCGAAGCGCTCCTTGTCCTCGTGGTTGGGGATGATGGAGCGGATGGGCAGGTTGCCCTTCTTGAGGCGGCGCAGCATGAGGCCGGGGATGGCCAGGTTGATGGCCGTCTCGATGTGGGACGACTCAAAGAGCTCGTGCGGCCGGCAGTCCAGCAGCAGCAGCGACGCGCCGCCGCCTGACTCCAGCTCCTCCTGCAGCCACTCGGCGCTCTTGCACGGCATCGCCACCGCCATGGGCGCGCGGACCCGATTTTTCATCGGGATCGCGGGAGGGCCTGGGGGCCCGGGCCGGAGACGGGCCGCGGGCGTGGACGCTCAGTCGGCGGCTCCCGGACGGATCCCGGGCGGCCCCGGGGCCGCAGCTGCCCCCGCCCCCGAGTCCCGGCGCGGGGCTGGGCCAGGGTCCGTCCCGGTCCGCCGCTCTGGCCTCCCGCCCGCCCTCCCAGCCGCCTCCCGGGGCAGCTCGGCTCCTCCGCTGGCTCGCTCGCTCGCTCGCTCGCCCGTCCGCCTGCTCGCTTCCTCCCGCCAGCCCTCCCTCCCTCCCTCGCGGGCTGCAGCCTGACAACTTCAATTAAAAAGGGGCTTCTGTAGCAGCGCGGCGTGTCCTCCTCCGGGGGGCGGGGCCTGCGGCAGGGCAGGCAGCCCCGGCTTCAAGCCGCGCCCACTCCCCGAAGCCTGCACCCGTCTGGCCTGCGGAAATCCGCCCAGCAACACAAAAGGCTAAGAAGCCTCGGGGAAATCCACGTGAGCACCGCCTTCTCAGCCACCCAGGCACCACCCCGCCAACTCAAGCTGCTTCCCTTCTGTTACTACTCCCAGCCTCTCCCCGAGCTGCTAGATTTGGGGACCCTAGCAAGGCCGCAGGCCTGCAATCTCGTGCGCCCCTCGGCCGGCGCGCTCCCTTTAGCAGCAGAGGCAGGTTAAAAGGACCCCGCCAAAGGTCAGAGGAGCTGGGGCTGGAAAGAGATCAAAGAAATCACAGAATCTCAGAGTTGGAAGAGACCTCAGTAGCCTTGTTTTAAAAAAAAAAAATCCCCTTTACAACACACCCAAGTGACCATCCAGGCCAACATTTTATGGAGCTCACCTAGCCCATCGTCCACATTTAACAGAAGAGGAAACTGAGGCCCAGAGAGACTTGTCTAAAAATGTTGTAGAGGGGAGATTCAAATCTGTCTCTTGATTAAATAAACCCAGAGCTGCCCAGCTCATCCTAGGAGGCCTGGCCACAAAGATCGAAGGGGCAGGAGCATCCGTCCTCCAATCCTCCCACAGCCTTAAAAGACCTGCTGAGCAGGCTGTCATACAGACTTCATGGCCCTCTAGTAAAACCCAAATCAAGACTGGATGGCTAGAAGGGCTAGTCACTCTCCTCCTCCAAAGACACCGCGTCTTTACCTCCAGTGCTGAAGTCACTCTCTCCAATTCAAATACTGTCAGTTTCCTCCCTGGGATGGGGGAAGGAGGGACGTCTTCTCCCCAACCTAGACCTAGTCTCTTCAACCTTAGAGAATTCCCTTCCCCTTCCAGAACCCATCTATCTTGAAATCTACAAAGCCACAGCCCATTGCCTAGACTTGAGTCTGGAGGCCAGAAATCTTGGACTCCCGTCTCAGGCCAAGGAGAAAACTGCCTTGGGGTGGACCACTTTGGACGCAACCTAGCCTTTCTGCCCATTCCAGAGCCAAATGTTGGGAGAAAGGGGAGTGGCTTAAGTGCCCTGCGGGTCCAGACCCTAGCTTCTCTGGGCAGAGACGAGCAGAGACCCTGCTGACAACCGACAGGAAGAAAAGGACCCCAGGACACGATGACCCCATTAAAGAGGCTGCGCGCCCTTTAAGAAGGCTTTAAAAAGCTGGGGTTAGGATTGACCACAGTTTGAGGTGACACGTGACTTTCCAGAGGCGGAGGGGGGGGAAGAAAAAACTCTTGTCTAATCCCTCGCTTTCTTCCTCCCTCCCTTTTTTCTTCCCTCCCTTTCAGTTTCCCCAACCTACCAATCAGTTCCTGCGGTGGGCGGGAGCGGTCCACCCAAGGCTCCAATCCGAGGCCAGAAAGGAGAGGGCGTGGGGAGGTTGGGGAGAAGGGAGAACTGAGCGCGAGAGTGGGCGGAGGCCGGGGGGGGCGTGCCCCAGCGCTATGTATCTGCTTGCCGGCTGCGGGAGCGCGGACTGCGAGGGGGCGGGCTTAGAGGAGGTGAATGGAGCAGTAGGTAGAATTGTAACAATGTGACTTAGGAGTCCGGGAGGGCCTGAGTACGCATGCGCAGGATGCGGCCTGGCAGGCGCTGGGGCAGTGAGGCTGCCTGGGAAGAGCCTCTCTGCGGTTGGCTGGAGGCGGCCACGGCTTCTAACGGAGCTTGGAGCTGCCGCGTCTCCTCCCTCCAGCCGCCGGGTCTCCTGGCTGCCCCGCAGGGACGGTGAGGGTTCGGACGGGGAGTGGGACGAGAAAGGAGAGGACTGGCACCGCTTGTGCTGGGGCTGCCTCGTCCTGGAGACCAGGACCGCGCATCCGGCCTGACCAAACCCGACCCCCAGGGGAGAAGCTTTTGGTGTTCCATTTATCACCCTTCCACAGCATCACCTGCGTTCCTTACTCTTAGACTCTTAGAAACCATCCTTTGTGATGCAGGAATCCCCATCTCCCCACCCCTGATGGGAAGTCGTCCAGCCTCCGCTTGAATACCTCCAATGACAGGGAACTCACTAGCTCCAGAAGAAGCCCGGCTACGTAGTGGACAGAGTGCTGGACTTGGAAGTCAAGGGGACCTGAGCTTCAAATGCTGCCTCAGATCCTCTGGCTTCCTTCAAGTCTAAGTTAAAATCCCTCTTTTCCTGATCCCCCCTCAATGCTACTTCCTTCCTTCTGTATATAGCTTTTTTTGTACATAGTTGTTTGCATGATGTCATCAGACTGTGCGCTCCTTGAGAGCGAGGCCGTTTTTTGGCCTTTCTGGCCCATAGTAGGGTGCTTAATAAATGCTTATTGACTCGACTAGTTTTGTGACCTTGGACTACTCAACCTCTTAACTTTGGTTTCTTCATCTGTAAAGTGGAGATGATGATATACCCTACCCAACACGTTGTGAGGATCAAATGAGTATGGAAAGTGCTTACATGCATGAGTATAGACATGAGCTATTCCATTCATAGCCTTGATTAGTAGGAAGTGTTCCCATATTTTGAGTCAGAAGGAGCCTCTTTTCAGCCACCCCTCTTAAAGTCCTACTTTCCTCCCCTAGGACAGAGAAGAACTAGTCTGATTCTTCTGCCTGACAGTACTTTAAATATTTAAAGACTGTGATCTTGTTCTTAAGTGTTCTCTAGGCCAAACACCCTTTGTTCCTTTTACTGGTCACCAGCTGGATCTCTGAATACATTCCACTTGTCAATATCCTTCCTCAAATATGGCACCCAGAGCTGAAGAAGATATATATTCCTTGAGATCTGACCAGGGCAAAGGACATGGTTCCAATCAGAGAGCTCCCACTGGCTTTTTAGGTTATCATATCACACTATTTGATTAATGGGTCAGCAAAGTATTTATTAAGGAATGTCCTCCCTTCTGCTCTTTATCTGTTCTGCTGCCCATCCTTTAGAGCTCAATTCAAATGCCACTTCCTGGAAGCCTTTCCTGATTGGTATCATCCTTCCCTCACAGATCTTGCATTGTACATGCCGCCTCTCTACTATACTTATCATGTCATGGTGAAATTATATAATTATTTGAGTTCCTCTCATTCTGATGGGATGTCCCCACAGGGACTGTGTCTTATTTAAAATGGTGCATCTTCCATAATACCTAACATAGGACTCTGAATGGTGTAGGTGCTTAATATGTTTGTGGGAAGGGTTTCAAACTCATTTTTTTAAGTTGTCCCATCATACTTAGCTCACACCCATTCCCTTTGTCTATGAATACTCCTTCTAACTGCCCTAATAATAATAAACTTCTTAGAAGTTACATGTATCATCTACCCATATAGGAATGTAAACAGTTTAACTTTGAGATTCTTATGTTTATTCTTTCAAGTTTACCTTTTCATGCTTCTCTTGAGTCCTGTATTTGAATGTCAATTTTTTTTATTCAGCTCTAGTCTTTCCATCAGGAATGCTTGAAGGTCCTCTATTTCATTAAATATCCATTTTCCCCCTGAAGGATTATACTCAGTTTCACTGGATAAGTTATTCTTGTTATAATCTTAGCTTCTTTGCCTTCTAGAATGTCATATTCCAAGCCCTTCGATCCTTTAAAATGGAAGCTGCTAAAATTTGTGTGATCCTGACTGTGGTTCCACAATGTCTGAATTGTTTCTTTCTGGCAGCTTTGCAATATTTTCTCCTTGACCTGCAGGGCTCTGATATTTGGCTATCATATTCTTGGGAGTTTTCATTTTGAAATCTCTATCAGGAGGTGATTGGTGGATTCTTCCAGTTTCTATTCTATCCTCTGGTAGTAGGATATCAAGAAATTCTTGAAATATGATATCTAGGCTCTTTTTTTTTTATCATGGTTTTCAGGTAGTCCAATAATTCTTAAATTATTTCTCCTTGATCTATTTTCTAGGTCAGTTGTTTTTCCAGTGAGATATTTCCTCTTTTTTTCATTCTTTTTTATTTTGTTTTATTGATTTGTTTGTTTTTGTTTGTTTGTTTGTTTTTTGATGTCTCATGAAGTCATTAGCTTCCACTTACCCAGTTCTACTTTTTAAGGAATGCTTTTCTTCAGTGAACTTTTGTACCTTTTTCCATTTGACCAGTTCTGCTTTTTAAGGAGTTCTTTTCTTCAGTGAATTTTTGTACCTTTTTTTCTCTTTGGTCAATTCTGTTTTTTAAGGTGTTTTTTTCTTCAGTATTTTTGTGTGTGAACTTCTTTTATCAAGCTGTTGACTATCTTCTCATAATCTTCTTGCATCTTTCTCATTTCTTTCCCCAATTTTTCCTCTACCTCTCTGATTTTTTAAATTCTTTTTGAGCTCTTCCAGAATTCTTGTTGGGCTTGTTTCAAAGTCACTTTCTTTTTTTAAATGAAATTTTGCTTGCAGCTGTTTTGACATCATTTTCTTCTGAGTTTGTGTCTTAGACTTCCCTGTCACCATATGACTCAGGTTCTTTTTTGTTGTGGTTTGCTTATTTTCCAGCCTATTTCTTGACTTTTCACTTTATGTTAAAGTTGGGCTCTGCTCCTGATGTGGAAAAGACACTGTCCCAAGCTTCAGGTTTTTGTGCTGCTGTTTTTAGAATTAGTTCTGGGGATCTGTAGGTTTTTGATGCTTCCAAAGTGGTATGATCTTAGG